TTTTTTGCCTCCAGAAAAAGAGAAAGAATTTGTAAGGACAGTTATTGAAACTGTCAGATTCTCCAATAGCTTTGAACTGGGGATTTAAATAATTCTCTTATTGGATTTCTCCCCACATTTTATTTAGTACAAACAGAGAACTTACATAATCCACAAATATTAGATGATCATGTAAAATGTTGCCACAACAGTGTCATTTTAATATTTTTTTACTGTATTATAGATATACAGAATAGTGAGGGGCAGGCTGAAATTTTCATACATGTATGGAATATAATTTGCTCCATTTCAGTCCCAGTACATCTTCTTTTCCTCCCCTCCTGCCTGTCCTCTTCCCCTTCCTCTAATCTACTGGTCTTCCTTTCATTCATTGATTGGTTGACTGGTTGATTGTGCTTTATACATACACATAAAGGCATTATTCATGGAGATGTGTTCGTACATCCACCTCCAACAATTTGGTAAGTATTATTCCCAGTTCCTCCCTTTCCCATTTCTCTTCCCTAACCTTCATCCCCTTTGTCTCCCACTGATCTCCTCTCTCTTTTCAGGGAATCATTTCTCTATATTTCTTAATTTGCTCTGACTTCAGCATATGAGAGAAAACACTCAACCTCAAGTGTCAGAATCTGGGTTATTTCATTTCACATGGTAGTTTCAGGTATATGCATTTACCAAGTAAAATAATTTCATTCTTCTTTATGCTGAACAAAGCCACATTTTCTCTGTGCATTTGTTTGTTCATGGGACCCTGTATAGGTTCCCAAACTAGACTTTTGTGAATTGTGCTGCCTTGCACATTGATAGGCATGTATCACTGCATGGTGATTTTAGTTCTTTTGCATAAATACCAAGAAGTGGGACAACTAGGTAATAAGATGGTTTCATTCCTATACTCTTGAGGACTCTCCAGGCTTTTTCCCAAAATGGTTGTACTAATTTACAGTCCCTCCAAAAATGTATGAGTTTACTTTTTCCCCCACATTCTCACCAAAAATTATTATTGTTCATATTTTGGGTGATTTTTATATAGTCTTGATTTGCATTTCCCTGATTACTATGGATTTCTTCTGGTAGAGTTTCTTGTGTTTTCTCAGTGTAAGAAGATGTCCTCAGAAACAGATACATTCCCTTCTTCCTTGCCTAGTTATATCTCTTTAATGACCTTCTCTTGCCTCAGCTAGAGTTTTAAAAACTATAGTGAATAAGAGTGACAGTGGACATCCTTGTCCCATTCTTCATTTTAGAGGAGATGTGTTTGTTTTCTCTCCATTCTAGATAATAATGGCTTTGAATCTGTCATATATAGCTCTTAAAATTACAGTCAGTTTCTTCTATCCCTAGTTTCTCCAGTGTTTTAATATTTATGGGGGCTACATTTTGTCAAAGGCTTTGCCTATATCTATTTAGATGATCATGGGATTGTTGTCATTAATTCTGTTGATGTGATGAATTAAATATATTGACTTGTGTATATTGAACAAAACTTGCATTCTTGAGATGAAACCCACTTGATCATGGTGCAATATCTCCTAATGTGATTTTGAAAGCAGTCTGCTGATATTTTTAAGGATTTTCGTATCTATGTTTACTGGGTACATTAATCTATACTTTTCTTGATGTATCTTTGTCTG